CTTTTATTTAAAAAGTTATAGAAATGTCTAAGATGAATGCCTACAAATACTTGAACATTCACTATTATTAAAAGACAGCAAACGTGAGAACTCAGAAAGCAACTGCAAGAACTGAAGAAGAGGTACTGAGCAGCAACGCAAAGAGGAAGACACTGTTTGCTTTCTACATACAAGTCCAAAAAAACATTCTTAAAGACTGCAAGGAAACAAGACAGAAGATATCCTTTTATCTAAGAGAAAATCCTGGAATTTCAGCAAACAAAAAAAAGTTCATAAGCACGGCAATGCTGGCTTGTGAATTTCCTTTCCATACACCATTTCTACCGACTAGCAACTGTGAAATAAGAAGGGGATTCACTCTGGGGACTGCCTGAGCTTTTGGAAGTGTGTTCTGGAATATAACAGCCATCACATGACCCAAGAAATTCAGAGGCTGTACTGCAAGAACTGAAATGGAAGACTGGGGGGAGGTAACAGCTTAGAAAGAGGGTTTTTTTCTAAGCATGGTTAGTACCATCTAAGCATATCTAAGAAAATTAACAAGAAAGTAAAATAAAGTCAGGTTCTAAAGCTATTACAAAGATTTTAACATCATTTATCTGTTAAAGTGTAATTGTAAGAGCAAATTGTGTAGGTCATAGGCACAATTACAACCTGAATCAAGAGTTATGGCTATGAAGTCCCACCTATCAGTAAAGTGATCTTCTAAGAGCAGAGAATAAAACATTTTCTTCTGTGAAGATACATAGTCACATAAATTACAGACAGATTATTTTTGTTTAAAAAGTTAAAACTTTTATTTTACATCCTTACTATGCTGAAGAATATAGATAGAATATTTTACGAAATCTTATTTTTTTCTTTTAGATTTTTAGTTTTTCATGGATATAAGCAGAAGCTTTATACTACATAGTCTTGTACGCATACATATATTTTAACATACACATTTTGGTGGAAGAGCCTTTCATTTGGGGGAAAATATCTTACATCAAAATTTTGATTATTCTGGTATGTACTTCTTGTTACTTGTGATCAACAGTATTCATATTACATATTTGCTGAATCAAATAAACAACTGTTTTCAAAGAGTTTTATCCAAACACGCATTTTAGCTTTCCTACCTATTTTTACTATATTATTACTACTTCTACTTTTTAAATCACAAGAACTCATCTTGCATACTCTGAAGAGCCTGAGTCAAATAGACATTAATACCTAGAACTGCTGTTCAATTTATTTCAGTGTCATTAATTATAAGCCTCAAGATTCTTAATGAGTGGATCTACTTCTTTGTGTGCAATTACTCAAGTCTTGAAAATTATTCACAAACAATGATCTCACTACTTCATTTTGCACTTACTACCACAGATAATTCATTACTGCATATGGGACAGCTCATGGGACCAAGCAGCACAGCCTGGGGGAAGTATTTACAGGATTTTATTCCACTGTCTTCTGTAAAGCATACCAGCACATCATAATCTCACACAGTTTCTCCTTGTGACTGTTGAGTGATATCTAACCGAAACGTTGGTACAGACATTACAGTTAGTCTCAAATTCAGAAACAGGACTGAATTAAGCACAGTCAAGTCAATGACAGCTCTATTTTGTGTAAAGAAAGTAGGTTACCTAGTTAACTGCATACAAATGAAGCCATTAAGTGTGCTGCCAGGTAGAATCTATGTCCTGTAATTTTCAATAGGAAGTGTGATACTGAAGGAGCCACCCTTACCTGGCTTCATAGAGATCTGTTTAATGTTTTTTTCTGAAGAATAATCAGTTTCTGATTCACTAATAGAGCTACTGAGAATGTTTCTACTTGCCTCTCCTATCCTCCCACTCTGAAAGCTGTGTCACTGCATATCTGTCAGAGGATCCCTGTCACAGATGTTCTAGTTCTGCACCGACTTTTCTCATAAAATGCATTTTTCCTCCAGACATTTCTTTAGATTATTATATGTTCCTGCCATTTTCTCCTCCCAAGTTACCAAATACAACCTAATTTTCACAGTCTTTCCTAACTCACGCACACACAGTGTGAACACATAATAGTTTTGTTATACTATGAAGATCTGAACCTGTTTCCCTTGGGCTCACTGAGAGCAGGATGACTGCGAGAGCAGACTCGCAGGTAGCTGGTGAAAATATAATCTCTTTTTGTACTCTGAATCATTTACCTTATTCCCCATGACACTTAAAATGAACATGCACTCAGCTCCTTTAGCTCCTCAGTGCTTCAGAAAAATAAACCCTAAGAATTCAGAATACCTTTTCCTTTTTTTTTTTTTTAAAAAAAAAAAACCCCAAACATACAAATATTAATGTGGACACTGTGCAAATCATATGTGGACCTATGTGTATTTATAATACTGAACACTTATAGCTGACCACTTAATATTGTTCTGTATAAAGACTGTAAGAAAAATACGAAGTCAAATTCTTAGTGCAATGCTGAATTGTCTGTTATAGTGTTATATTACACTACCTGCAAAAACCTCACATTTTTAGTAGGCATGGATCGTTTGTTTCCAGCACCATTCCCTAAATGACATTGCCAACTAAATGCTTAGGAAAAAAAGGGCACTTGTTCAAGCAAGTTAAATCAGGCAGCGACTTACAGTGGGATTGGTTTTGCTGTCTAAATTCAAAATAGCGGCACATTCATTGTAGCACGGTGATGATTTCTGCAAATTCAGCCAGCTGAAAAACTACAATTAAAGATAACCTACAAAACCCTTGTTGAAACTGCAGCTTGAATTTCGTCTGTCCATCAATGTGCCCATTCCTTTTAGCAAGGATTACTGAAATGTTTGCAGGATTCAAGCCTTCATCTCACCACACGGTATGACGAACAATAAGACGCTGTGGAACGACTGACTGATTGCAAACTTTGTAGGAATGTGTCAAATACATTATCTTTATCTAGAAAGCCCAGCGTCAAGAAATGTCAGGGATAATACTTGTTTAAATTACAAAAGAACAGAGAGGTATTTTTTAATCATTTCTGTTTCTGTACTAACCTGGGAGCATATTGGCTTCAGAAATATAAAATAATATTTTGATAACCAAAGAAACTATTTCCAAACTATTTCCACTTCAAGTTGTTAACTGCAATCCTTTGTTATTCTAAGGCAAATTTCCTCCTACGATGTACTTCGCCTCTTCTTTTAACCGTTTGGTCAATAGGTTATGATGCCTAAAATTGTTCTTGTCAAATAATCACCCTTTTTTCTTCCCCCCTCCAGAGCTGAGCCATTATCCAAATCCTTCTGTTTTAAAAATAAAACAATTCACTTTTCTTGAGTTTAGAGTAGGGCAGCTCAAAACTGCCCAGACGAACTCCTGTTAGATGAAAACTAAGCCTGATTTCTTCCCAGCCTAAGGGAGCTGTGTGGGATGCTGAATCCTTAATGGCTGAATCCTGACCTTACCGAAGCCAAAACACTTCAGTGTTTTTGTGCCGTTGTAAAACCCCATGGCCTCAGTAGACACTTCAGTAGCAGCTTCTCCCATCTCCACCCCTGCACACGAAGACGAGCTCTCACCTGACTTGTCAGAAGAATCATCGAACTCCACGTTGAAGGAGTGCCCGTTGTTGACTATGTTTCTAGCCGTGCCGGCATCATAGCTGAAGCTGAGAGGCTTCAGAGAGGAGTCGTACTTGGCAGCCTTGCTGCTGATGGCAATGGGGGACTGGCGCTCTCCATTGGCAATGGGGAAGTGTTGGTGCCAGTGAGCGGGTCCTGCAAGACAACGTACAGCAGCTCGGTGGGAAAGGAAAGACACGAAGCCCAGGGGATACAAATGATAACCCTCACTCTAAAAACAGGGATATTTTTACCACCGGCATCAGCCTTTAATAATACACCACCTGCGCGGGGTGCCGGTGCTGCAGCGCAGACAGGGGGAAATCCCACCTGGGGACCCCGGTGGGGACCCGGCAGTCCCTGAGCCTGGGAGGCTGAGGCGGGGGGGTTCTGCTGGGGCGTCCTTCTAGAGGCCACCCCGTCCTTTTCCCCCCCCCCCCCCCCCCCCCCCCCCCCGCACCCCCCTTTCTTTGCGCCGTTACCGAAGTAAAGGAATGACAGTGGAAAAGCAGAAGATGCTCCAGGCAAATCGGGCGGCGCGCCTGGCTCGGGGCTCAGGCGCAGGTGGCATTTCAAGGTTAAAAGAAAAAAAAAAAAAAAAGGGGGGGGGGGGGGGGAAGGTATTGGGGGGGGGGGGAAAGAGAGAGAGAAAAGCGCCACGGAGCGCATTCCCGCTCCGGGCAAGGGCTCGGAGCGACGCGCAGCGGGCACGTCCCGGCGCTGCTCCCGGGGACCGGCCGGCAGGTGCGGTGCCGCGTCCCGTCCCGTCCCGCACCCCGCGGGGCACTCACCGTCCTGGGTGCCGTACCCCCACGAGTGGGACATGGTGCGCGGCCCGGCTCTACCCGCGGAGGCTGTCGCAGCGCCGTGGCTCCGGCGGGCGCTCAGGGGCTTTTATAGGCTCCCGCCAACTCCATGCCCTTCTCCGCGGCCGGAGGAAGGGGTGGGGAGCGCGGGCGGGGGCGGGGGGACACTCCGCTGGGGGCGGAGAGAGCGCTCCCTTATAATCCGCGCTCCGCCGCGGCCGCGGAGCTGCGGCGCGCCCGGCCGGCAGCGCCCCAGGCAGCCGCGCGGCGTGGGGCGGCCGCGAGCCTCGTGGCGTGGGGCGGCTGGGGGGTGGCCTTCCCTCCCTCCCTCCCTTCCCCCCCCCACCCCCGCATTGCGCACCTGCGGCCGCCCGGCAGCTACGCGGAGCGCTGCGCCGTGACCGAGCGCCGTGACCTTGGGGAGGTGCCGGGGGGGGCGCGCGTGTCCGTGCGCGGGTGCGTGTCCGTGCGTGTGCGTGGGGCCGGCGCTGCGATCTCCTGCTGCTCCCTGCCGGGGGCGGCGGGAAAGGCGCGGCGGCTGGGGCGGGTGTTCGGGTGTTCGGGAGGGAGCGGCGGGGCGGGGGGGGGGGGGGGGACACGGGCCGCTTCCCTCCCGCCGCGCCACGGGAGGTGTTTCGTGGGTGCCGAGAGGGGTTTGGGAGGGATGAGCGAGCGGGGATTTGGAGGCGGAGGGGAGCTGCGGTCACGCCTCCGAAGGATGAGGACGTTTTTGCTTATTACTTGATCTTTTCCGATGACTTTCGGAGAGGAGCGCGGGCAGAGCTGCGCTGCTGGCCGCTTCTTCACGTTTGGGAAATGCACGCTTAATCGTGAGAGCGGTTCAGCTACCGCTCCCGAGGGTAGGCTTGCAGGAGTAAAATTGAGCAATACATATTTGAGATGGTTTTATATTGCTCAACACTCCGGTGTTTTATCACAGGGCAGGGGGGATCAGACCTTGGCAACCCTTTTACAAACGGCTGAATTCTCCTTGGCCCTGCGAAGCCACTCGTACCCAAGTGGGTTTGCAAATGATCCTTTTCGAAGGCTGTTCTGTGTCCTCTTGCTCCAAGCAATTTTGGGGATGGGAATAACATCATAACTGTAGTATTAGTTTATCCCATTTTCTTGCTAAGGTGGTTTATTCAAATACGGTTTTAATTTTATTTTGTTGTGATTCAACCACAGGGGTCTAAATTCTGTTGTCAGTGAGGTCGTTGTAAATCTAGAATAACACCACCAGCATGACCCTATCGTTTACATTCAGCATTGTAAAATGTGTGTCATTTGTTTTCATTTGTTAGGAGGGGGGAGAAAAGTCTCTTTGTACCATGTGGTTACTGTTGCTAATGGTAAAAAGAATCAGCTGGGAAATTGCTTATAAAAATCAAAGGCATTTCTCAGTCTCCTTTGTCTATAGGCAGGAAATATTTAAAGCTTATTACTGATTAACACTGTGTGTCCTCTCATATTTGCCTGCCTCTACTTAAGGTGGTTTAGCAACCACAAAATGGAAATGTGAAGGCAAAACTGTATACAAAGAAGTTATTTAGAAGTGGCTGTGCTGTATGTGATGTAGAACAACAAAGGGAAATGCATGTTAGAAATTTATTAGAAATTCCTTGTTTGCTCATTATAGATACTTTCTAGCAATCACTTACTGAGTGATTTTGATTTACTGAGTGATATTGATTGAGCAGTTGTGCTGCCCAAGTGTATTGACAGTCTCTCATAAACACACACATATACAAATACATACAGGTAAGAATCCTTGAAGAACAAAGCAGAAAACATCCCTTTATGTTATAGGAAGGAATGAGATTTCTGTACATTTCAGGCTTCTTTCCATTTAATCCTACTATAAAAAAAATCAGTTCAGCCAGATTCCTCTGCCCTCTCATATGTCAAGCTCCCACTGATGTCAAAGGAAGTACCACAGAAAGGACAAGTACAGGATTAAGCATGACACAGTGTTTGGCATGGTAGGCTTCCTAAAAGATCTACTTAGGGTTCTTACCAGGGAAATGAAGTTGGTCAGCAGCACCACCGAGGGACTGGGATTTTAATTACATGAATCTTCATTTTATCACATTCATTCTATCTGTAGGTATATGGTACATGATTAGCACACACAGACATACATCCACATTTTTTTCTTTTTTTTTTTTTTATCCATTGTTTTTAAATGCCCATTTTCTTTCATCATTCAGCAGTTAGCATTTGCAGGCTTGAGCCCATGCCAAGAAGCTGCTGTTGAGAGCCTGGCATTGACTTGGCCTCCTTGATTCCAGCCACCGCCTCTTCTGTCTCCTGCCTGCACCAGACTCCTCTAATCTGTGAGTGTGGTTTTAAGGCAGAATGCAGTGCTTCAAAGAAAGCCATGAGCTAGGCTGGAGAAGAAGCTGGACAAAGGTACCATCCAGGTCATACTGCACACTGGTGAAGCTGCTTGGCAGTGACAAAAAGCAAGGCAGGTTAGCAACAGCAGAAGGACATAATACACATCAGCACGGTACCTGCACTACCTCAAGCATCTCGCATAAATGCACACTATGCTCCATAAACCTGCCCCTCTCTGCCACAGTTCTGCTGGAATTGGTGGAATGACGCAGACCAGTAAGGCCTACTTGCTTGTACAGAATGTGTAGGAGCAGTTCCTAAAGCAAATGTTCACAAATCCTGTGGCAACAGAAGCATTATAAATACATTTCAAGCAATACAAATACAGGGAACAGATTAGATAATTACTGTAGCCATTTGATTACTCATAACTCTGACATTAACATTTTGGGTAGAAAAGATGCCAGCGTAATCTCTCCCATTTCTGTCATTACCAGTACTACATAAAGAGAGGGTTTTTAGAAACTAATAAAATCAGATACCTTTCTTCATGTCCCCTCTATTTCTTAGTGTGAGATCACTCCTGAATATGGTAAAGAAATAGGTGTTTCTAGATTTGATGGTACTTTTGAATCATATTGGTAAATACAAGTAGAAGCAGCATCAATAGTTTCAATAAGTGCAAAATGTTTGGTCACTCAGATACCTCCACACCGAATACAGAACTCATTCCTGGGCAGAAGACAGTGCAAAGCCATCTTTTAGGTCCTATGTGAATCCTGCTTTGAAAGATTATGTGTCACAGCCCATTTGTTGACTGTGCACAAGAAGAAAAGCATCCTTTTTGTGTATATTTTATGAAGTTCCCTGAAATATGATCATTATTATTATTTGTGAAGCACTGCAAATGTCAGTACAGATGGAAAAATGGCACAGATCCTTCCATATCAAAGGTTTGTCCTCCTTTGTAGTCAATTGCCAACTACTGGGAGTATTCTGGCTGCAGGAGTGATGGCACATCAAACATGCATCAGCCTGCAAAATGCTTTCAGCGGAATTTTATACAATAATCATGTTGTAAATCCACCTTTTCATGGTAGATTTTCAATTCTGTCAGAAAATCTATTTGCAGTCATTTTTTCACATCTTCATTCATGTTTCTGTTCACTGCTGAACAAAATGCAGAAGAACCCTGCATCATTCCAATTTGTTCTATCTATTCTGTGAAAGTTAAATACAATTATGAAACTGAAAATAATTTTTGGTCCTTCAGCGAGGTCAGATTAGAGCCCTTCCTTGTATTACAAAAATGATGCTTTACTACTGATTTCTAATGAGTGGATACAAGTATCAACAATGCAACCTTCATGACATATCACTGCAGTAGAAAAAGCCTGGCTGGCTTTCTGGTGACTTCTGGCCATTGCTGATACAAGCTGCTTTGAAATACACATTTTGATACACTTCGAAATATACCATATTTAAGTAATTTGGTACGTAAAAATGGAACAAGCTTGACTCAAGAGAAGTGTGGCCAGCAGGTCAAGGGAGGTGATTCTCCCCCTCTACTCCACTGTCATGAGACCCCACCTGCAGTGCTGTGTCCAGCTCTGGAGCCCACAACATCAGAAGGACATGGACCTGTTGGAGAGGGTCCAGAGGAGGTGACAAAGATGCTCAGGGGGCTGGAGCACCTCCCCCATGAGGACAGGCTGGGAGAGTTGGGGTTGTTCAGCCTGGAGAAGAGAAGGGTCTGGGGAGACCTTACAGCAGCCTTCCAGTACTGAAAGGGGGCCCGCAGGAAAGATGGGGAGGGACTCTCTTGGGTAGTGTAGCAACAGGACAAGGGGTAACACTTTTGAACTGCACGAGGACAGATTTAGGTTAGGTACGAGGAAGAAATTCTTCACTGTGAGTGGTGAGGCACTGGTACAGGTGGCCCAGAGAAGCTGTGGCTGCCCCCTCCCTGGAAGGGTTCAAGGCCAGGCTGGACGGGGCTTTGAGCAACCTGATCTAGTGGAAGGTGTCACTGCCCATGGCAGGGGGGTTGGGACTAGATGATCTTTAAGGTCTCTTCCAACCCAAACCATTCTAATGTTCTGTAATTCTACAATATGACTACACAAATAAGCTCAGTTTCCAAACTAAAGCTATTTGTCATGATTCAGTGAAATTACGTCTACATGATAAAGCCCTATGCAGTGCAAGTCTAATGTCAACAAGGGTATTTTAGTCTTTGTTTTAGTTAAGTCTGGCAACTTTAGGGAAATATGTGTATACATGCCTTCTCATTCCAGGCTAATGTGTATCAGTTCGCCAACTGTATTCCATGATGTTTTGAACTGTCTTACAACCTGGCCTTTACTTGCCTGGTCTTTACAGCTCCAGATGCTATTTCCCTGTTTATATGCTACTGTCCCCTCCTGTTTACATGTGAATTTGTCAGTGGTCATGACAACTCATGACATCCTGACTTCTCATCTGTGTACATTTTTGAAAGTATGCTTCATTTGTCTTGCAAACTACCTTCTTGTGACTTCTGCAATTGGCGTTCCACCATGTGGTAAATTCATAGCAACTCACACTTGAAGTCTGTTACCAGGATGCACATAAGAGCATTGCAAGGCAAGCAGAAGCTCACCAGCATGTCTCAGTGCAACACTGCAGCAAGCAAAGGATTTAAAAGTGTTTTATAAAATAATCAAAGCCATCAGCTTCCAGCTAGTCATGAGACAAGTCACCTCCTATTCCTCTCAGGACAAAATCCTTGCAAGAGATGCCAGCACTGTTTGGAAGATACAGGAGATAACCCACATAGTCACTCCAGATCTGCCCACCAAGGTCATCAAGAGATTTCTCCTTTAAAAAGTTCACAGCAGCCAAAAGGTTCTTGTTTCTGAGATCCTCAGCGAGTTCACCTGGCCCAATGCAGAGCTCGCACATTGAGGAGGCTATGCAGAGCACCATGAGCATTTAGCTTTTTAGGCAGAACAGATTCTGGAAATTCCAGCTTCATGTTATTCTCTATACCCAGTGTGCAGAGATGATAACTCACTTGACACTGCTCATCTGGGATTTTTGAACAGAGAGGAACTACACACAGATGCCATGCTTTGGCTCAGGTAGAGCGATAGAGGCTTCTGTCAGCAGCTGATGCAGTCTGGGAATCCCAGACTTGCAGAGCTTTCCTCTAGCCCCAAAATAATCATCCACAAGGTGTAAGTGCCTCAGCAGTACTATCTCGGATCATATTCTGCATATGATCATCATAGTCATCTTTTTGCTCAGCTTATTAGATACTTCTATGGTTCCTAGAATAAATAGGTAATGGCTATCCAACATATGAGCAATATTAGATGCTTCCCAGTCCAAATATCACAATGTGGCAACTTCTCAATTTATAGGGTGAGCAGGTCCTGCACAAGACTCTGAGATATCTGTTGTGCAGCTGGTTTAGGGGAAAACCTATTATGTGGAAATAATGAACAAT